TGGAGTTACAGCTGGAATTGTGGTTGTTGTGGTGGCTGAGTCAGGATTAGGAGTGCTTACAGGTGTGCCCCAGGTGTACCCCAGGTGCTTACAGGTGTATTTAGATGGCCACAGGTGCATTTCAGGTGAGCAGGTGGCACCTGAGGACAGATGTTCACGGCACACCTGTGCTCAGGCAGGGCCCAGAAGCAGAGCCAGGTTTCTGGGGCGGCTCTTCCCCCAGGTGGGATTGAAGGAGGCCCTGACCCCGTGCCCCAGCCCTTGGCTCACCTGTCTCAGGTGACTCTCCTGTCTCTGCAGCGATGTCCTGGCTCTGCCCATCTTCAAGCAGGAGGAGTCCAGTTTGCCTCCAGAGAACCAGGACAAGCTGCTGCCCTTCCAGTACGTGCTGTGCGCCGCCACCTCCCCCGCCGTCAAACTGCACGACGAGACCCTCACCTACCTCAACCAAGGTGAGCCCACACCTGTCCTGCACAGGTACCTCTGGAACCGCCCCAAAGGAAGGTTCCACCTGTGGAAGTTGTTATTTCCCAGGGGAAGTTTCCGATTTTTGGGGGTTTTTTCCTGGTGGGAAATGGGAAGTGGCAGTGCCTTCACCTGGCTGTGCTCTGCCCAGGTGCAACAGGAGTCACCTGGAGGGTTTCACCTGGGTAAAGTGTGGGTGCTGGGAGGTGGTTACAGGTGTGTGCAGAGCATTACAGGTGTGGATGAGGCTTATCTGTACAGGTGTGTGCAGAGGGTCTACAGGTGTGTGCAGAGGGTCTACAGGTGTGTGCAGGGTGGTTACAGGTGTACAAGATGTATCTGTACAGACGTGTACAGGGTAGTTCCAGGTGTGGGTAAGGTGTATCTGTACAGGTGTGTTCTGGACCATTACAGGTGTAGATAAGGTGAATCTGTACAGGTGTATGTAAAGTGTATCTGTACAGGTGTGTGTAAGGTGTATCTGTACATGTCAGTGCTGGGCAGCTCTGCAGGGTGGGAGTTCCAAATTCAGGCTGTACCTGCTGCTTTCAGGTACAGCTGGAAGCTCTGGGTTGGTGGGATCCTAAATGGATTCATCCTGAATGAGGAGCTCAGGTGACAGGTACAGGTGACAGGTACAGGTGACACAAAGCCCTCAGGTGCCCTCCTGCCCCCAGGTCAATCCTACGAGATCCGGATGTTGGACAACAGGAAACTGGGGGAGCTGCCCGAGATCAATGGGAAGCTGGTCAAGGTGAGCAGAGAGCACAGGTACAACCCCACACACCTGGCCAGGTATGCCCATTCCAGCCAGGTGTGCCCATCTCGGTCAGGTGTGCCCATCCCGGCCAGGTGTGCCCATTCCAGCCAGGTGTGCCCATCTCGGTCAGGTGTGTCCATCCCAGCCAGGTGTGCCCATCGCAGCCAGGTGTGCCCATCCTGGTCAGGTGCTCTCTGGGGCTCTGCAGCTGGGTGGGGGATATACCTGGTTGGAGGGGTAGGGTGGTTCCCTTTGCCCCTTTTTGGCACAGGGGAGGGCTGCACACCTGGCCAGGTGTGCCAGGGCAGCTCCAGGTGACCTTTCCTCTTCCCCAGAGCATCTTCCGGGTGGTTTTCCATGACCGGCGGCTGCAGTACACGGAGCACCAGCAGCTGGAGGGCTGGAGGTGGAACAGACCTGGGGACAGGATCCTGGACATAGGTGAGTCTCACCTGGCTGGGGCAGGTGGGGGGTCCCAGGTGGGCCTCACCTGTTCCCCCCACAGATATCCCGATGTCCGTGGGGATCATCGACCCCCGCGCGAACCCGACCCAGCTCAACACCGTGGAGTTCCTGTGGGACCCGGCCAAGAGAACCTCGGTCTTCATCCAGGTAAGGGACAGGTGGGCAGTGCCCCACATCCAGGTAAGGGACAGGTGGGCAGTGCCTCACATCCATGTGAGGGACAGGTGGGCAGTGCCTCACATCCATGTGAGGGACAGGTGGGCAGTGCCTCACATCCAGGTGAGGGACAGGTGGGCTCCGTCCCACATCCATGTGAGGGACAGGTGGGCAGTGGCTCACATTAAGGTAAGGGACAGGTGGGCTCTGTCCCACATCCAGGTGATCAACAGGTGGACAGTGCCCCACAACCAGGTAAGGGGCAGGTGGGCAGTGCCCCACATCCACGTAAGGGACAGGTGGGCTCTGTCCCACATCCAGGTAAGGGACAGGTGGGCAGTGCCCCACATCCAGGTGAGGGACAGGTGGGCTCTGTCCCACATCCAGGTGAGGGACAGGTGATCCCGGGTGCTGCCCCGTGGATCCTGGCTCTGCTCCGGGCTGTGCCCGTG